CACTTTTCCTAATTCCACAATAATTATTAGAAAGAGGAAAAGAGAAGTACCTTTCCTCATTCCACCAATTACTAGCTATCTTTGAAGAGAGAATTATGGATCTATTAATATTGACATGCACTGCTTTAATACAGATAAACTTATGACAAGTTCCATGAGCATCCTCCGCATTGCTTTATATTATGCTAACTTTGAGACGAGAAACAATCTGTTTGTGAACAAATCCAAAGAATCATGCTGGGCAGCTCCTCTCGTCCAACCCAGAGTGGGAGGAACAAAAATTAATCCGGTCACTTTCAGAGGAGGATTAGCTATTATATGTACTTCCCTTGTAACTGGTAAGGCAGGTAGCAGAGATTTTTGTACCTATAGTTGTAAGGATTTGGAAAATTCTGTGTGATACTTGGCTGGATTGGGTTCAGAAATCCCTGGTCCTTGGCTGGCTTAGGTTCAAAAATTCCTGGTCCTTGGCTGGCTTAGGTTCAGAAATCTATGATCCTTTATAACCGGCTTGGTTCAGAAATCTAGCATAAAAATTTCTCAGAAAAATGTCATGAGTGGTAGTATAGTGGGTTATAGAACACCACAAAGCAGCAAGGACTACAGAGCCACACCTTCTCAATCCACCCAAGGCCTGGTGCATTGCCTTACATCCACTTGTTACTAAACCAAAGTGCAAACCCTCGGCAAACTGCGCATGCGCTATACCGCCGTGGTTTACCCCTAAGCTCGTGGAGAGTCAGACACGGTAGTAGATAGCATGCGGGAGTCGATAGCCGGCATTCGTTGTGACTTATTGTGCCTCCAACGTACACGGAGCAAGCGGATCTGCTCGAGGTAGAGCCTGTGCTAATTGGCAATTGGCTTGTTCACTTGCTTTTCACGCCATAACTTTCGAACGCAGTATATATCTTTATGAAAATCGACTTTTTAAATCAAGCCAGTGTAGCACGCACTGAACCCGTTACTATCGCTGTTTCTCCGATTTCTTGCGCGCGGTGGCATAAAACGCAGACGGACAGTCAAGTCAAAATAATTATTATTATTACCCTGGTTTTACAGGATGAGTGTAAGAGAATGCAGTGAGATGAACGTGAAAGATAAATAGTGATTCCATAGAGATTAAAAACAACTGTGAAGACCATGACCATAAGAAAATAGTGAAACAGAAAAGTTAGTACAGGAATGAATAAACTTATCTAATGAAATATCAAGACTAGTGTGGGCCGACAGAAAGTGTCCACAGGGAGACTCGGAACCAATGTAGAAAGAACAGTTAGGAGCAGGACATGTATATACCATCTGAGTGGGTGTGGAGGGAGAGAAACCTTAGTATAGCTTGAATGCAGGTTGTGCCGAAGACATCCCTCTCCAGAGCCATATCCCATAGCTTCAGCCATCTCCCATCATTTCTGGAAGCAACAGCTTGGACATACTGCTGAGAGGGATGTGTAGAGGCATCTGCAAGCAGTAGAGACGGGTCAAGTTGGAGAATTTCTTCAGGGAGTGGTGTGAGATTTCGTCAGAACCTGTTAGTACAGAGGTGGTGTTGTTAGATGGACTCGACTCGAGGAGACGACATTGAAGAGAGTGACAGACATTAACCCTCGCTGCGCATGCGCAGGGCGCGGGAGCGAGCTAACCTAGTGGTCCAAACCACGCTATTATATGGGGTGCCAAACTGGGCAAAAACCCATTTTTTAGCTCTCAACTCTCCTACTTACATAATTACAGGCCTTCTATTTGTAAAATACACAACACTGCTGTTTCATGTAGAAGACTGCTACTTATTGGCGAGCGGGAGCGAGCCAACCTAGTCGTTCGTTCGAGCGGAATTTTATGCGACCATCGTCTCGTACGTCGTAAGTGCGCATGTGCGGCTTTGTACGCGCTTCTTTTTATCCGAAATTATTTCCAAACACGTCAGTGATGCGCCGAATGAGCGACTCTCCTCCATTCGGCGGCATGCGCTGCTACCTTCGGTGACTGACCGAGGCTGTACCTCTTCCCAATCTTCATGGTTCCAAGCTGCAACTTGCAAATACGCTAGGATTGCTCGTGCACATACTGCTGCATGCCACACGCCGCGTTGTCGGGCAGCCCGATCGATCGCTGCCTAGCCTGTTGCCACGACAGACGAGCTGAAAGCGTAAGGTAAGGACGGTTATGCTAACCTGCTCACCGTTCTGGGAATAGATATACAGTACGCATGTAAAGGCGACAGGTAGCTCTGTCTTGCTTCACGAAAGGAAAGCTGTGCGCTGACGGCACGTTATGCAGACCGAAAATCGCGGACAAATCCCAAGTTGGGCCGCTTCCGCGCGCCAACAATGTTCGACATTCTTCTAGTTATATAGGAATCAGAGTCCTATTTATTCTATAGCACTCCTCTTTATTAACCCTCGGCGCGCATGCGCACCCGAGGGTTGCGGTAGTTGGTTTGTCTATCTCTGTGTGTTCGTGTGTGTGTGTGTGTGTGTCGACGCTTATTCTGGAACTACAGGCTACGAGGCGGCCCATTAGCGATACCAGCGGCTTCAGTACTACACGAACCTGTAAAATAAAAGGGCGATTTTCCTGAAACGACTGCGTTCGCGAGAGCGACAAACTGGCACAGTCGTGGACCGCGTTGCGTGGCCCAACCCATCAATAAGTATTGCGCATGCGTATACCAGACGCGATCAACGTCGATCTTAGAGGCACAAGAAGCCACCACGAAGGTGCGTGTATCGACTCCCGAATGATCTAATACCGTAGCTAGCCCGTGTCAGACTCTCCGCGGCCTACTAGCGGGAGACCACGGGTAAACGCTAATAGCTGGCCTAGCCCATCAGCGGCACCGCACATGCGTACGTAGTTCGCCGCGCAGAAATCCTAAATACTAGTGGAAATGCTGAACATTGTTGGCGAGCGGGAGCGACCCAACTTGGGATTTGCCCTCGATGTTCGGGCTGCATAACGCAGGCGCGTAGCTATGTGGTTTCATACGTTGCCCGGAAACCCCCCTGCTTCAGGGTCACTTGTCGTCGCCATTTTTTAGTGGGCGGGGGGTTATGAGCTTCAGCGTCAGAAGAGTGCAGACCCTTCCAGCTCTTGTGATGTAACTCCTACACGAACTAAACCACCCCTTGCTGTGAAGGTTAGTCTTAGTGCGTACAAGCCTTGATTTCTGTATAGTCTGAAGTCAGAAGGGTGTATCGGGATCTTGTGGAGAGCAATAACCGTGATTTTACTGGATTCGATCTGGGAAATGGGTAATACTACCTGGCTGTATCACTTTATTATACTTTCTTTTTACAGGGTGGCGTTTAATAGCCCGGTGAATGCTGCAGTTGTTACTCGACTGGTAAAGGAGGTGCAAACACTTAACCCCAGGTATCAAGCCCACACTTAACTCTTTGGGGCCCAAAGCACCTCGAGGGTCAACTTACGTCACTAAAACGCAACGGAAACGCAACGCAAAAAAAAGGAAAAAAAAAGACAGTGGCATTCTAACTAGGGATGTCCTGTGTTGAAGTGCACTACCTTACCGCCTGGCCTGAGCTATTCACTCCACGCTCCTCAAGTAGGCTAAAACGTTGCCTATATTCGGGATTACGTAAGCAATTGCGCCCATAATGTGGAGTTAAAGGCAAGTGTAGTTCATAAATGTCTGTGATGTAACTGCTGTTTACACTTTATTGTCACAAGAAAACCAGTTGGGAAGCACAGTGACCGCAAACAAGCTAGACGCCGACGAGATAGACTATTGAGGGTATAATCTGCATGAGGATAGTAGAAGTATTGATGGAATCACCGAGGAAGGCAGTACAGTTATAGAGTCCAGCCTGAGATGTTGCAACCTCATCGAGTACTATGCTTGATATCATCCTCCCACTGGAGGTGGAGTCACTAGGAGTAGGAATAAATCCAGGTCCCTCCCACATGAGGGATGGAGTAATGGCCACACCAGACGGCAGGGAGATGGTGCAGGTGAGAGTGACAGTGTCTCCTGCCACAATGGAGGAGGAGGGAGAGGAGACCAGAGATATGTTGGCTGGCTCTGTTGAAAAGAGGAAGCCGCGATAATTTATTAGGAGTAGTCTTGCAAGCCAGGCCTATTTTCCTGTGCTTCCACATCCATGCAACGCGGTCTACACGACATGCATTTACAGGTTCCAAGTGTTGCCTTTGATTTTTTTGGTAGTTTCGCGTATATATATAACGTTCTTTCCCATGTTGCATGGATGTGGAAGCACAGGAAAATAGGCCTGGCTTGCAAGACTACTCCTAATAAATTATCGAGGCTTTCTCTTTTCAACAGAGCCAGCCAACATATCTCTGGTCTCCTCTCCCTCCTCCTCCATTGTGGCAGGAGACACTGTCACTCTCACCTGCACCATCTCCCTGCCGTCTGGAGTGGCCATTACTCCATCACTCATGTGGGAGGGACCTGGATTTATCCCTACTCCTAGTGACTCCACCTCCAGTGGGAGGATGATAGTACTCGATGAGGTTGCAACATCTCAGGCTGGACTCTATAACTGTACTGCCTTCCTCGGTGATTCTATCAATACTTCTACTATCCTCATTGTACAGAGTGGGTCCACTAATTTGTACTTTCACTGATGTTTTAAAGTTCTCCCATAGTCCCAGTTCCTACTCCTGTTGTTACTGCCAGTGGAACTATGCTAGCTGGAGCACCACTCACTCTACATTGTGACTACACTCTCAGTATATACATCAGTGCACATTGGTGTTGAGACAGTAGTGACATGGATGGTGAACAGTTAAACTGTAGCTACTTCTAGAGCATTACTGGAGCTTCTCTCACATATTCTCTTCTGACTACCTCTGACACTGGCAGATACACATGTAGCTACACTGGCTCCACAGACACCATTTGTTACTGTGGAAAGTCCAAAAGAAAGCCAAGAGAAAATCATAACTGCTCAAAGTGAGTAACAGATCATCACTCATTGGTCCCTGGTTAATTTATGTTCTTTCTATGGCAGTAGCTACCCCCACCAGTTGTGGCAGTCTCTCTGAGTCAGAATGGTCCACTGTATGCTGGTACTAGTCTGACTACCACATGTACTGTTACACTCGACTCTAGTGTCAACAATAATGAACTGGTCTACACTGACTGGACTGGTGTAGACCACGTACCCTTAGATAGGTTCTCAACCACTCCTGTCATTAGGGTGATCAATGGTAGTTACACCAGTAACCTCACCATCAGTCCTCTAGCTGATCAAGATGATGGCACATTAACCTGTACTGGGACAGTCAGTGGAGGAACTCATATCCAGTCAGCTTGTAATACACATATAGATGTGATCAGTAAGTTATGGCCATTTACACTGTATTACTAGTGTTATCGTATCCTTCAATCCTACCAGCTCCTAACGTCACAATCTCAACAATTGGACTCTCTATTGCTGGCCAGAGCTACACCTTCAAATGTTCAGCTAGTGTAGAGCCTCACATGAAGATAGTTTTTTCCCCCAACTCAACTGAGATATCGGTAGTAGCTACTAAATCACTGAATCACACCTACACTTCCCTGAAGATATCTGATGGAGGGCAGCACACCTGTAGAGCCACTATCGAGATCCCACAGGCCGGTATAACTAATCTCCAGTCTTCAGTAGCAAAGACTTTAGCAGTTGTATGTAAGTGAGCAATTACCTACATTTGTATAGATATTATGATTCACTGAACGTAGATGCCTACCCAGTTGAGGGGTTCTGGTCAAGATTGACAACAGGAACTTCTTTCACCTTCTATTGGACTCCTCCAAACATCGGAGCTTACCTCACCAATGACCATCATCTGAAGTGTGACCCTCTAACGATTGAAGTTCCATTTCGTCAGGCAATTGTGCAAGCTACAAGTACCTCGGCAGTTTTAACTGATCTCCATCCTGGAACCAACTACAACTGTAGTATCTTTACCGTTGGTCCCCTCGGAATCTCAGCGCCAAAATCACACAATATTACCACTCCTGAGGCCGGTAAGATAAGGGTTTAAGTATAATAATGTGTCTATTTTTGTTTGTGCAATAGCTCTTTCAGGATCTCCAGAGATGTTTGGGGCAGTAGCTGGAGAGAGAGAGGTGGAGTTCTCCTGGTCTCCCCCACCTCCCACCCAGCAAAATGGAGTCATCATCAGCTACACCCTCTCCTGCTCTCCCTCTCCCACCTCTCTTCCCCCAGTCCCCCTCCTCCCATTCCTCTGGCTCTCTATCAGTGGCTGGCTTCTCTCCAAACACTCTCTACTCCTGTTCTATGACTGCTGAAAATAGTCAGGGATCTGGACCTCCTGCTGTTGCCACTTTCACTACTCAGCAAGACTGTAAGAGACCTATGCCAGGATTATTAACTAATGTGGTGCTGTTCTCTGTTTCATGCCAGATAGTCCTCTTTCAACTGCGGCTAAAAGGAGTTTTACTCTGCTCTGAACTGATAGTAGGTTTAGGCCTATTTTCATGCGTGACAATCAATTTCTTTCGCATGTAGGCAACACTTACAAAGCATAAGCAAGAAGACATAAAAACTGAACTTTTGCATCAGCTGGTTACCTCTTGCCCTGACTGTGGCGTTGGTGATGAAATCATAGACAGACAATCTTTTGCCTGCTTTGAGGAATCTCTGTCATTCGTGACATATCGAGCCAGACTGGAGGGGACCTCTGAGACAGAAAGTGGCTCCCTCGTCTCTCTCAT